TAAATCTAACAAAACATATATAGGACTTGTATGCTGAAAATGACAACACTGATTTAAAAAAAAAATCTCAGAAGATCTAAATAAATGGAGAGACATACCATTTCATGGATTGGAAGACTCAACATAGTCAACAATGTCAATTCTCCCCAAATTGACATACACATTTAATGCAATTCTGATCAAATTCCCAGCAAGATTTTTTTGTAGACATAGACAAAATTACTGTAATATTTATATTGAAAGGCAAAGGCACTAGAACAGCTAAAATAATTTTGAAAAAAAATAAAGTGAGTGGGATCAGTCTACCCAATTTCAAGCTGCAGTAATTATAAAGTAATTATTATAAAGCTGAACTAATCAAGACAATGTGGTATTGCAGATAGAAGGACACATAGTCCATGGAACAGAATAGATAACCCAGAAATAGTTTCACACATATATGCCCAACTAATTTTTGACAAAAGAGCAAAAGCAATTCAATGGAGGTAGGACAGCTTTTTCAACAAATCATACTGGAGCAACTGGACCTCTTACAAGCAAAAAATAAACCTTGACCTAAACCTCACCCTTCCTATAAAAATTAATTCAAAATGGATCATGGACTTAAATGTCAAGCTATATAACTTCTAGAAAAAAATAGAAGAAAATCTTTGAGACTTGGGACAAGGCAAATGTTCTTAGACTTGACACCAAAAGCATAACCTATAAAAGGAAAAAATTGATGAAGTGGACCTCATCAAAATTAAAAACCTTTGCTCTGTGAAAGACACTGGTAAGAGGCTGAAAGGACAAATTACAGACTAAGAGAAAATATTAGCAAATCATATATCCAAAAAAGGATTTCTGTATAGAATAAAGAACGTTTAAAATGTAACAGGAAAACAAAAATATCCAATTAAAAATGTGCAAAAGACATGCGCAGACATTTCACCAAAGAGAACATACAGAAACTTGTACACAAATGTCCATAGTAGCTTTATTCTTAATAACCAAAAACTGGAAATTATCCAGATGTCTTTCAATGGGTGAATGGGAAAACAAACTATAGTACATCCACACCACGGACTACTACTCAGCAGTAAAAGGCAACTATTCATACGTGCAACAACTTGGACGAATCTCAAGGAAATTATGCTGAGTGAAGAAAGCCAATCTCAAAAGGATATATACCGCATGATTCCATCATATAATATTTGTGTAACAACATAATTATAGAAATGGAGAACAGATTAGTGGTTGTTAGGGGTCAGGGTGGAGGGGAGGGAGTGGGTGGCATGAGGGAGTCTAGTGATGGTCCAGTAGAGCATCTTGAGGTAGTGGTGGTTACACCAAGCTATACATGAGATAAAGTTACATCCCAGGAAACTCTTCAATCCCTCAAACTGGGACAATTGGTCACTCAAGTAGGGGCCATCCTGCAGCCCTTGCTGCTCTGAGGAGTAGTTTGGGCTTCACTTGGAAGAAAATCCAGGTCCTCTGGCTGCTTAGGAAGAAGAGCTTGTAGGGGTCACAGCCAACACAGGCAGGAGCTCCTGCATCACTGGGGCAAGAATGAGAGTGGTTCAATGTGGCTGACTGGCCAGAGATCATAAAACTTTCGGTTTTCCTCCTGAGCACATGGCTAGACTACATTTCCCAGCCACCCTTGCAGGTAAGTGTGGTCACATGACTGAGTTCTGGCCAATGGGATGTGGGGGGACATGCTCTGTACCTCCCATAGGTGGTCTTCCATGCCTTGACCCTTCTGCAGTAAGCTTTAAGCCATGTACTGAAGAGAGCAGAGCACAAGCTGGAAGTAACCTGAGTCCTGGCTATCCCATGGGGGAGAAGGATTTGCTGATCAGGAACACATGCTACGAGCATAACATGTTGCAGCCATCGTACCCATCTTCATCTGTTTGTGATGGGTAACATCACAGTGTTACCCATCTGAACAGTGTTCAGCAGTTCCTTAACTGACTGCTGGTGTGCACACCTCCTAGCCTCGATGTCCTCCCTGGGCACCTATGTTGGGGGAGGGCCACTGGATGGCAGGCTGGGATTCTCAGACAGCCCCCTATAGCTACAGAGAACCCAAGACCCTCTGAGCATCTCAGGGCGGGGTGGGAGCCTGAATTCTGGCTCTTAGAACCCCAGGAATATCGGATTCTGAAGGGACTGGAGGGGCTCTCGGAGAACACAAAATCCCCTCTATGCCATTGAACTAATGGGGAAACTGAGCCCACGAGAGCAGGAGGTACTTGGGGAGCCACAAGGAATCAAGGGATGAGTGGCCGCTCTTCATTCATTTGTTCATTCCACAAATATTTATTAAGCACTTTATGTGTCAGTCACAGGGATAAAATAGAAGATTCCTGACCTCATGGAACTCACAGACAAGCAAGTTACAAACATGAGCAGGCTAGGCGGTGCCCGGTACCAGGGAGGGTAAAGCAGGACGAGGGGATACAGGGAATGGATGTTCTATTTTATCTGCAGCAGTCAGAGAGGGCCTCTCTGAGCAGGTAACCTGAGAGGAGACAGGCCCTGAGGATATCTGAGGAAGAATTATCCAGGCAGAGGGAACAGCAAGAAGCCCTGCTGAGGACACACGGTGGACAAGTTTGAGAAACAGGAGGAGGCCTGAGTAGCTGGAGCAGAGGGAGTGGGGGGAGAAGGGGTGAGAGGCTACAGAGCTGGGTGGCTGTTGAGTGGCCCCAGCCTCTGCATGACTCACGATGCACAGTGCTCCGCCTCTGCTTACCTGGGGGCTGTCCTGCTCTGCACTTTGGAGACCTCAGGACTGGGGATGGTTGGGTAGGGGCTGACTTTCCAACTTCCTAAAGCTTGATCTTCGGGGGTCACCTTATTTCTCTAAGTACCTGAATTCCATGTATAAGCTGGGAGACTCCTGCATCTGGAGAACTCATTCATGTATTCCTCATTCATTCATTCTACAAACATGCTGAGTCCTGTTCTATGTGCTAGGCTCCAGGGACCCAGATACGACCTCATCTCTGGACTCAAACAGCTGACAGTTTAGAAGGAGGGACAGACACATCTATAGTTACTACAGTTTTATCAAAGCTGTGATAAAGCGATTGTGGGAGCCCAGAGGAGGCACTAGACCTGGCCTGAGAATCAGGGAAGGCTTCCTGAAAGAGGGGCAGATCCAGGGCTGGGTCCCGAATGAGTTAGTGGAGAAGGGGGATGGGCTGTAGGCCAACATTCCACAGAGAGGCCACACATGAAAGACTCAGAGGTATGACAGGCCTGGAGGTGTTTGTGAAATACCACTCCACAAGGAGTGGAGATCTCTAGGATTAAAGGGGTGAGGGGTGCGGTGGTGGGGAAGACTGAGATCAGAGACGTCAGAACAAGAGGGCTTTGTAGGCCATGATGGAGGGGACCATGCTGGGACACCCGGATGCCCATCCCACTTCTGTTTTAGACTTACTGGGCTACCTGGGCTAGGCACTCCCAATCCCGAGGCCTCAGTGGCCCCATCTGTGAAATGGAGCCATCTGGGTGGTATGGCTCTGACATGCCACCGAGATCCCCAGGACGTTGTCTGCCAGTGTTCACGGAGCTCCACAGAAGAATGGCCAGGCCAGGGCTGCCTCACTCCCCCTGACATGCCTTCACATGTCCTCATTGCTCAGGGAGACTCCCTAAGGATGGGGAGAAGGGCTGGAGAGGACACACCAGCGTTTACCTTCCTTTGCTTTTGGATCAAACCACACACATACGAAAAAGGAAGGACAACTGTTCAGCAAAAGAGCGTCAAGGGTAAGGTCCCCTGTGCCCCAAGTAGTGGCTAAGAGGGTGGGCACTGGACCCAGACAGACCACTGACCTGCTGTGTGGGCTTAGGCAAGTCACTCTGCCGCTCTGAGCCCCCCCCCCCCCCCCCCCCCCCGCAGTGGGACTAATCAGAATAGAACATCACTGGGTTGTTTTGAAGATTATATTACGTGTAAAGTGCTTAGCACAACACCAAGCACAGAGGCCTCAAAACTGAGAGCTAGCATTATTATTATCGTTATTGTTTTTACTGGGCAGGGCGACAGGAGGCCGGTGTGTGCTGTTTGTTGGGTAGGAGGAGGGATTTGGCTCCAAAAGGGTTAAAGTGGAGCCAGCTGCTCCCAGTCCTGCAGATAAGGTTGAAGGAAACACAGTCCAGGTCCTCAGCCCCTTCACAAGCGAATTTATGAGGTGCTGGTCACTTGGAGTCAAAGACTAGGGGCTCCCCCAGGCCGCTCCGGAAACATTCAGGGTCAGTGGCCAGAGGGGACTTAGGACTCTCTTGAAAGGCGACAGAGCAGAGAGGGCACAGACCAGACGGGGGTCGGGTCGAAGGAAGAGGCCGCGAGTAGGGGAACGTGAGACAGAAAGACAGAAAAGCAGAGGAAGCGAGGCAGTGGCCCTCACGGGCCAGGCGCGGGAGAAAGGAGATACAGAGACAGCAGGAGAAAGAAAATCGGGGGCGGGGAGTGGGGCGCAGGGAGGTGCTGAGAGCAGAAGGATGGGGGCCACCGGGCGTCCGCACCTGTGGTGGGGGAGGGGGGGGGCTCTGTACCTGTGTCTGCCTGGCCGGTGGTGGGTGTGTGAGCAGGGCAGTGCCGGGGCGGAACGACGCCAGACCGCGGACTGCGGGACAG